CCCTCCTCTCTCTCTCTCTCTTTCTCTCTCTCTCTCTCTTTCTCTCTCTCTCTCCCCCCTTCTCTCTCTCTCCCCTTCTCTCTCTCTCCCCTTCTCTCTCTCTCCCCTTCTCTCTCTCTCCCCTTCTCTCATTTTTTTCTTTTTTTTCTTCCATTGAATACTTATTTGTTTTTATTTTGTTTGCATCCCATGGGTTTATGTTAACTAGTAGTGTGGTGTATATGGATGAAAGAATAATAAAATTTTGGCATCTGTTCCTTCCTTGATGTTGAAGGAAAATCGTATGCAGTTAACTTGTAAATCTGGAGCCTTTGTAGTAAGTGTAGCACAGAACACACATTTCCACAAATTGAAAAATGAGATTAAAACCGTGAAGTTGAAAAAATAATCAGGATGCAAAGTAGTTAATTTAAAACAAACAGATCCACCCAAACATTAAATTATCATGGTTATTTGATAAAAAAGTGCAATTAAATTACAGCAGTTCCATCTCCTGATAAATTGGTGGACTCTTACCTTACTTAAACACTTGGTTCTTCCCTTTTCCTGCACTTTTCCCCCCTCTTTCTAAGTGAAAATCCATGCAGGGGTGGGGGCAGACAGTTTTTCTCGTTCCATTATTTTTTATTAATAGATCTAGGATGAGCTATTAATTTATAAAATATTCAGGCTCTCTTTCCTAGAAGGGAAGCATCAGCATGTTAAGAAGTTTTTAAATAACCCATTGCTTGAGTTGAGTACTTTAAAGTTCTTGCTTATTGACATTTTGTCCAGCCACGGGATAGTTATCCTTGAAGAAAAGTGTTGGATGCATAAAATAGCAAGCAAATTTGGACAATATTGGTATTAGATAGAAGCCCTCTGAAAAAATGCAACGGATAAAAGGTTGCCAGGGGAACAAGACAGTGAGGATTTGTGGAGAAGAATTCCCCTAAGAACAGTTAGTTGGTGCTACTTTTTGTTCAGCTGACAGAAAAGCTACAGCTTGACAAGTTACGCTACAGGACAAATCTCCTCTAGCGGAGGCTATACTATGATTCATAGTGAAGACAGTTACCATAATAAAAAAAAGTGAACTGTAGAATGCTGGAGTAGTTTATGGATTTAGGAGGCTGATTGTTCTTGTCTTCCTATAATTGTAGGTGTAGTTGCAATATCAGGCAGTGAAACAGAGGATGATGACACTATGGATGTCCCGCTGGATCTTTCCTCATCTGCTGGCCCAGGCAAACGGAGGAGACGTGGTAACCTGCCCAAGGAATCTGTGCAGATTCTTCGGGAATGGCTGTATGAGCACCGATACAATGCTTATCCTTCAGAGCAAGAAAAAGCGCTGTTATCCCGACAGACACACCTTTCCACACTACAGGTATTTAAAAATGTAGTTCTCATGTCTAAAGGAGCTGTCTTCTGTTTTCTTCTTCGTTTACTCGTGTTCTAGTCACTGATACAAATGTTTACACTACATGTGAGATGTCTTTTTTTATTTTATTGTTACTCTCCTTCTGATGACACTTGTAAGGAGAAATGGAAATTAATTGTGTGTTATGATTATCTTCGGTTTTTGGGAGTAACATTTCTTCCTTGGGAGAACAGGCAGTTAGGAATTTGAGCATGCACATTGATTTTTCACAGAATCAAGGCCCAAAAGACATAAAAGGTCTATATAACTCTTCACTTCTAAACCTGCAGCTTGAGGCTCGTTTCTGTAGAACGTGCACATATAGAATTATGTGTATGGTCACTTCCATTAAGTCCAGTGGAACAACCTGAGCTCCTCAAGTGTGTTAGTGTAGGTATGATGAAGTTTTTCTGTTGTTAGTTTGGATTCTCATCCCAGGATACCTCTGGCAGCTGCAGGGTCCCTTGGATGCACCGTTCATGTCTTCTGTGATCACCTTTGGTGGAATAGCTGTTGACAATTGCTGCTTTCCACCTTGGGGGAAGGTGGCTTGATGAGAACTTGGGTAAACTCAGGTTTGGTTTTGAGAGGTACTAAACACAGAGTGCTCCATTTGGCTTCTAGGCTTAATTCTTCCAGATTAACTCCTTAGTACAAATTTTGTAATTGGATATACAGTAAAATTTCCTTAATGTCACATAAAGAGAGCCTCCTTTATGTAGTGAACAGAAAAAAGACGTTAAACTATGAACTATCCTGTATCACCCAGGAAACTGGTTTGATATTTAAACAAGGACAAACTTAAATGAGGTAATTCATGTTATGTCTGTCGACACAGTCAGTTGAACAAGGAAAATCAGTAACTATTTGTGGGAGGAGTGGCTCTCTTCAGAGAGAAAAGGTTTTCCTGTTGTTAATTAACCTAAGCTAAGGAACAATAGCTAATAGGTTAATGTGTGTGCACAGAGTTAAAAGCTAAACCCCTCCGAACGGGCTAGCAGTCATCCTATGTCCCAGGGCTTTCTGTAACAGGAGTGGGGACCTAGGGGTAGAGCCCAGAGAAGGGAAGGGCCTTTGCCAGGCATGTCACAACTTGTCAGTCGATCTTTCTTTTGTTCTGCAGTTAAGGAAACTACCTGGAGGAGGGATTCATTAATCTAACCCAATGACTCTAATGGCACATAGTTGGAAATGAATGAACATAGAAATTAAGATGTGATTATATTCCCAGGTCTGCAACTGGTTTATCAATGCACGCCGCAGGCTTTTACCTGACATGCTGAGGAAGGATGGCAAAGACCCAAATCAGTTCACTATCTCTCGGCGAGGCACCAAGCTTCCTGAGGGTGGCCTGGTGGAGTCTTCCATCAGCACAAAGAACTACATTCCCTTGCTGGAGGAGACTGCCTTCCTTCCTGCGGCCGCGCCGCTCGGCAAGACTGTGCCTTCTTCCAAGCTGGCTTCCCCAGGGTCAGTCCTGGCTCGGCCGTCGGTGATCTGCCACACAACTGTGACTGCATTGAAAGACGCCCCTTTCCACTTTTGCCAGCCGGCTGATGTAGGCCAGACCACGGACCTGCAGCAGCCCCTTGCCAATGGCTTCACAGACAACTCCCTCTCCTACCATGAGGATGCATCTAAACTGGGACCTGGTGCAAATGCACAGAGCGGGCTCTTCAACACTCCTCCTCCAACCCCACCAGACCTTAACCAGGATTTTAGTGGATTTCAGCTGCTGGTGGATGTCGCACTCAAAAGGGCAGCAGAGATGGAGTTGCAGGCGAAACTTATGGCCTAAATCCCTTTCCTTCTTCCCCGTTTTGTTTTTCCAGGCAGGGATCTAACAGCTGTGTGGTTATTGCCACCCACACGATATCAAGACTTCACTGCATTATTATTATTTTTTTTTTATTAATCTTATTTGCACAAGGGATTGCTGAAATGAAGCTTCCTGTCACTGAGAATGGTCTTCAGTGGAATACGGTCATTCCAAGAATTATAAACTTAAAGCTACTGTAGAAAGAAAGGATTGTGTGTTGTTGTTTTTTTTTTGGGGTTTTGTTTTTTTTTTTATGTTTTCTTTGTAGGTTTTTCATAATGTGAGATGGTTCCCAAGATCATGTGATTTGTTTTTGTTTCTTTCAGACTGTGCAATATCTAGTAATGATATAGAGTCTTCTTATCATTCCCAAGCGGAACAGAATATACCGACACGCTGTTTAAATAAATTTTCAATTTTTTTAACAATACGAACTTTGGATGATTATGCTTTTTTTTCCCATAATGTAATAAATATTTTCTTTAAGAATGGACGCATACAGAGTATTTTGTTGAATATGAGCTTTGCAGAAAACACAGCTTTACTCTTGAAATAAATGGAAGTGAGAAATTACTTTTGGTTTAGAGAGCTATGCTAGCAGTTTACCAGATGTTGGAAGGGATGCTGAAAGTAGGCCAGAAGTACCTGACCATGCTCTGCTATGTTGAAATTTTTAAAGAGGCTGAAGTGAGCCATGTAGACAACTCATTAAGTTTCAGAGGGATATCTTAGGTCCCTCTAAAACTTGTAGCATTTGACTCCTAGAAATACTTCAAAGTTAGGTGATGTGACAGCCCATGGGGAAGTTCTCCTGAAGATGAAGTGGGGCCAGATGACAGGTTGGGGTGAGTGTTCTTTGTGGGTCTTTGATACAGCTCCTGGACATCACTGGCAACAAACTTAGAGCGGGGAGGACAAAGGCCCCCACTCTTACTCTCCCTGGGCTAGCAGTGACAAGGTTTTGACTCAGTAATTCTAGTAGACTATATTGGGTTGAAATCTGAGTTCTGGGAGCCAGGTCTTGGTGAGATATTTTAACAGGTGGCAGACTAAGATTTAGAAGAGATCCCTGTTGTATTGAGGTGTATTCTGGCCAACAGAATCTAAGTTACCTTTCAGAAAAGGACTCTATTACCGAAAAATCCAAAGACTTGCAGCTCACGTTTCAACTTACTTGAATGTCAGTCACCCATCCTTATCCTTCCAACAACAGTGAAATAAGACACCTCTGGGTAAGAAAAATCGTTTCCAGTTAATCCTTGAAAACAAAACCTGTTGTCTGCTTGGGAGGCTAGGGGAGAGCTTTGTGGAGCAAAAGAGCTAATGAATTTAGGAATATCATGAATAGAAGTCCACAATACTTGGGCTACAATGTATATGCATTTTGTTTTGCTGTGGCCTTTTTTTTTTTTTTATCAGAAATATACTTCATATGTTCACTGGAGCCTCTGGAATTCTACTGAACTTCTGCCTTTATTTAACTCAGGTTTAAAATCAAATATTTTTTTAAAAAGCAAATAGTAAACACAGTAGCTTACTCATGTCTGTATCAGTAACTGTTATCCTAATATGCTGCATGAATATATAATTAAAAAAAAATAAATTCTATTGAAATAAAGCTAGAAAAACTAATTTTGAACATAGCCAGAAATGGCTGTATACTTTGTCTTCAGGCAATAGCATGTGAGTCTGGAAAGAGCCTTTTGTTGTGTCTCATTGGGCACTGTATTTTATATCTCTAGGCTATTTTTCCTGGAACACTTGTGTATGTTTTTTTAGTTGTTTGGTTGGTTTTTTTAAATGGATAATTATAAAATGGAACAGAAGCACACTTTGTGTAACACTGAGGTCAATGTTGAAGGTAATGTTGATCAATATACATCCTTCTGTGGACTAAACGATTGTTGTGAAGGGGTGCTAAGCACCCAAAGAGGAGTGTAAAGGTTCGGAAGATGCTTCCTTGTCCACATGCAGAAAGAGACTATTGCAACACTCCTTATGCCTGTGGCTCAAGCACTGATGAAGGAAAAGCAACCTCATGCAAATATGTTTGCATTGTTTTATTTTAATTGTTTGACATTTCCTTTTTTTTTTTTTTTTGATAATTTTCCTTTTCCTCGGATCATTAAAGGGCATTCTTGGAGATCTTTGCTCTTCATTACTCTGCCTTTTAAAATAAAAGAAGTCAGCAAGTTCAGGAAAAAAAAAGAAAAAAGAAGCTTTGCTTGCTGAGCTGACCAGTTCTATAATTCCACTAGAACAGCTGCAGTAATGAAAATGAAAATAGGATGAGGAAGAAAGCTGTTGCCATTCAGGTTAACAGTTTTCATTGAAAGTAAAAGCCTGTCTCTGCGCTGTTTTCATTTACCATTATGCCACACAAAATGGCATTAGTGTAACTGAGCATCAAAGTCCTGCCCGTGTGATGAGCACTGCATTTCCATTTAGTTGACTGACCCCAGTACCCTGGGGACTTGTGACCAGTTTTGCTTGAGGCCAATTGGTTGTTTCGTTTTGTTGAGTTTTTTTATTATTATTACTTGTGTTAAGGTTACACCTAAACGTTCAGCTGTAGTCATAAGCCCTTGGGCTGATTAGCACCTGGCACACCATTTAAAAGCTTTTCCCTACCCTGAGGTGTTATTTGACTTGAAGGAGGAAAATTACTCATATTGAGTATCGGCTAAAATAATATCAAAAGGGAGTTTCAGCTTTCCTGTAATCTAGCACTGATAGTTTTGGTGCAGGCTATTGAAATTTTCTTTCAGAGCAGAAACTTGAAGTAACTCCAGGTAAAATCAAAGGAAGGTATGTGTGAGGTATCAGGTGAAGCTAGGATCCAGAATTAAGCAGGAGTCCTAGAAACATTACTAAAGGCTTCACGTGGTGGACGCTCATCCCTGGTAAGGCAAAAGAAAAGTGTGTTTCTAGAAACTTGGTTTACTGTGGTATGAGGGGAAAAAAAAAAAAGCAGTAGTAAGAGGCAGTAAGACAAGATGGGCAGTTCTGTAGTTCTTGCTGCAGTGATGAACGTAATTGCAAGTCAGCTGTACCAAAACCCAACCTGTGGCTGAAAGCACACACTTGGGCTGACTGTGGAGATGAAGGGAAGGTGTTGCTGCGCGTTACTGGAGACTGCGCGGCCGGTCAGGGCGAAGTGAGCTCAGAAGTATGGCAAATCCGTGCCAGGGAAAACAGCTCACGCAGACTTCATCAACCTTGTTTTCATGGCTTTTGTATCTTGTAAACAACTTGTGGCAGCTGCATGTGATAAATCTCCGTGCAGAGCAAAAAAATAATTACAATAGAGAGAGGAATCTTGAGCCTGGCGTTGCAGCCTGCGTGCATGGGGGAGGGGGTTGTGGTGTCCCACATGTCTCCCAGCTTCTGCCATGAGGTCAATGTACACGTCTGTAAGGCCGTTGAAGCTGGAACAGCTGGCCTCGTGTGCTATGGGGGAGGGAAGACACGCAGGAAGAGCACGAAACCGGGATAACTGGTCTGCGAGATCCTGGGTGGTGCTGGCTCTGCAGCCAGGGGGATGCTGCTGCCTGGGCAGAGGGGTGCAGGCAGCACTGCACCACAAAAAGGGGTGGCAGGAGAAATAAAGCGGAAACTGGGGTGGGGAGAGTGTGGGTGATGTGGAATGGTCACGGTTTTCCTCTTGGAGAGCAGGAAAGCCTGCAGCAGGAAGCCCAGCCAGCAGAAGGTGCAGTGCAGCTGGACGCCCAGGTGCACCAGGTGCACCGTGACCCTGTTAAGTGTCACTTTTGTACCAATGGTATTTAGGCCATTTGCAGTTAACTGTGTGCTGCCTGCCAAAGTCTGTTTTCATTCATCATTTTTCTCACCGTGCTTGTGCAGTTTTTTTAACGCTTGAAACGTATTCCTGGAGTACTTAATAATTCTTTTAAAGCTCATTTGGGTTTTTTGGGGTTGTTTCTGGTTTCGGTTTTTTTTAATTTTTCTTCTTGGCATCTTGCAGTTGTCAACTTCCCTCCTGGCTTTTGCCAAATAGGGATTACTGGCATGAATACAGCACATGTTCACTTTTCAGGACATTACTTGTTTTACGTTTCTTGCTCACCAATTGCTGGAGTTGTTACATCTCTATCCTGTTTCGAAAAAAATCAGCAGGCTCTTTTCCCGTAAGCTGCAGTGTTCAGACTGAAGAAAAAGAGATTAAGTTAAGCCACTCTCTCTAGCAAAACCTCACTTAAAGCTGTTCCTGACATAATAATTGCATCCACGTGCTTCCTATTCAGTTCTGTCTCTATTCCTGTCCCTATCACTATGAGTGCCTGGAGTTCTGCACACACAGAAAAATCACAAAGTTAAAACTCAGCCTACATTCTCTGTCTAAC